GCATTTTCCAATCTGCAACTTTCATTTTAAGCTGAACTTCAGGAATTATCTGCATTGCATAGTTACGTTGATTCTGCTTGGCAAAGTGTAAGTATGCATCTGTCAAGCCTGAGCTGCCTCTGTAAAAGCTGGCAATCACTATAGTAGTCGGCAGTACTAGTGTGATAGCAACACGCTTACAGGTCCTGTGTGAGCGGCTTCCCCTCTGCTCACTGACCACAGGGAGTCGCTTGCTTAGCGCCATTTAGAGAATGTCTTGTATTTTTTCAGTGAATACAAAGCCTTTCTGGTTGGACAAGGTGGAGATTGTGACATCACCTCCCTTTCGCTGTACTTTGTCCAATCAGAGAACATCCTATATTCATAACAGAGAGTTTGCTTGACAATATTAGTAATTATTGCATTGGATCATAAACAATATGTATAAAGATTTAAGTATTGATAATTATTGTTTTAGATCACTATTCCTTTCCCTGAGGAAGAATCTGCACTAAAGTTTTTCGAAACGTGTTGGATATAGGCTGAATGCACTTGTAGTTCCCTCAATTGAGGTTGCAAGATGAAAATCAGCTTCAGGAGATACCACTAATTTTCCAATGCAATAATTACTAATGTTGTCAAACAAATATGTTGTCAAGGATTGTTATATTCTATTGGGGAAATATGTATTGATGTGTTAAATAAAATGTCAAATCTTCTTTTAAAAAAATGTTTGGTTTATTTATTCCAAAGTTTCTTTAAAAATCCCACCAAAGGTAAGGTACATGTCTCTCTGTTAGAAAAATAGGGATGATAGCAACCACACCCTAGGTTACACCAGATGACTCTTTTACTCATCCAATATTCATTGAAAAAATACAGAGGGGGTGCGCAATTTAAGTATGCATATCTCATACCTACTGCATACTGATTGCTGGTGGTTGCTTGCTCAGCACTGCTGCCATTCACAGAACACATTTGGGTTGATTTGCTAAAACTAGAGAATGCTAAATCTGGTGCAGCTCTGCATAGAAGCCAATCAGCTTCCAGGTTTTTTGTCAAAGCTTAATTGAACAAGCTGAAGTTACTGTAGAAGCTGATTGGCTAACGTGCACAGCTGCACTAGATTTTGCACTCTCCTGTTTTATGCAGGCCATAGACAGGACGTTTATTGGCCGATAAACGAAAAATCAGTCGTTGCTGCCACCAATGCTTACGAAAAACAGCCGTATTTCATAGATTTTCCAGCATGACTGATAAAAAGAAATGAGAAGAACCGAAAAAATCGGACAACGACATTGCCCCACTAACGGTGTGAATATCGGCCGATTATTCGTTCGGATGAAAAATCGACTGATAAACGACCCATCTATGGACTGCATTAGTAATTCAACCTCAAGGTGTTCTGTGAATGGCGGCAGTGCTGAGCAAGTGACTACCAGTGATCAGTATGCTGTGGGTATGAGATATACATAGAAGAAATATAGCAGATGAACTTGTGACTCCAATCAAAAGTGAAAATTGCGCACTCACTGGAAGCACATAGATAATGCGCATACATATATAAATTTCCAGAGTAGATTGGCCAATCCGGTGAACTTTATCCTATGGTGCAGTCATCAAGCCCTTGGAGAACAGTGTTGAATCCCTTGACCAGGAGTTCCTTCTTTAGGCTAAATGAGGTAATCAGCCTGGATACGGGGCTCCTGTTCCTCCAGATATGTTGGATACTGACAGGTACCTGTGGGCTTAATAGCTCCAAATAGGAGCCATAAAAAAGGTGCCCATAGTGTAGTAGATTGGCCAATCTACTCTGGAAATGTATATATGTATGCGCATTATCTATGCACTTCCGGTGAGTGTGCAATTTTCACTTTTGGTTGGAGTCACAAGTTCATCTGCTATATTTCTTCTTGATACAGACTCTATATCCGTTTACGTATTCACATGCGTTTATATATGTGGACATATTGTTTTTATTTGTTTTGAGCGCTACACCCCACTTATTTATCTATACTTTTACAGAGTTTTTATTGGTACCTCTTGGTGTTTTAGCAGCTACTTTTAGGAGCGCTCACTTCTATTTACTTTTAATGAGCTATACATACCGTATTTGCCGGCGTATAAGACGACTGGGCGTATAAGACGACCCCCCTACTTTTCCTGCTAAAATGTAGTGTTTGGGCTATACTCGCCGTATAAGACTACCCCTCTTCCAATGCACACCAGTGGGAGGAATAGTGCCCCATCATTGATGTCAGTGGGAGGAATAGTGCCCCATCATTGGTATCAGTGGAAGGAATAGTGCCCCATCATTGGTATCAGTGGGAGGAATAGTGCCCCATCATTGGTATCAGTGGGAGGAATAGTGCCCCATCATTGATGTCAGTGGGAGGAATAGTGCCCCATCATTGGTATTAGCGGCAGGAATAGTGCCCCATCATTGGTATTAGCGGCAGGAATAGTGCCCCATCATTGGCATTAGTGGCAGGAATAGTGCCCTATCATTAGTATCAGTGGGAGGAATAGTGCTCCATCATTGGTGTCAGTGGGAGGAATAGTGCCCCATCATTGGTATCAGTGGCAGGAATAGTGCCCCATCATTGGTATCAGTGGGAGGAATAGTGCCCCATCATTGGTATCAGTGGGGGGAATAGGTGCCCCATCATTGGTATCAGTGGCAGGAATGGTGCCCCATCATTGGTATCAGTGGCAGGAATAGTGCCCCATCATTGGTGTCAGTGGGAGGAATAGTGCCCCATCATTGATGTCAGTGAGGGGTGGAATAGTGCCCCATCATTGGTGTCAGTGGGGGGTGGAATAGTGCCCCATCATTGGTGTCAGTGGGGGGTGGAATAGTGCCCCATCGTTGGTGTCAGTGGGGGGGAGGAATAGTGCCCCATCGTTGGTGTCAGTGGGAGGAATAGTGCCCCATCATTGGTATCAGTGACACCAATGATGGGGCACTATTCCTCCCACTGAGACTTGCTGACCGATGTTCTCGTATGGTGCTGCTGCAGCCAGCATATGTGGTTGCAGCAGCACCTCTACACAGAGCACTTACCTGCTGCTCCGGCACTCAATTTTCGCGGGGCCGCTCGGCTCCGCCCCCTCGCCGGTGATTGGCCGCCTGTGTGCCTTTCCTGAGCTACAGTTCTGGCGGCCAATCACCGGTGAGGAGGCGGAGCCAAGCAGCCGCACGAACATCCAGTGGCCGAACTGAAGGAGACGCCGCGCTTCCTGGACCGGATAGTCGTGGGACTGGATCCAGGTAAGAGACATCAGCCCCTGCAAACCCCTGTACTTAATGCCGCAGCCCCCCTAACATGTGTACCGGCGTATAAGACGACCCCCGACTTTTGAGAAGATTTTCAAGGGTCAAAAAGTCGTCTTATACGCCGGCAAATACGGTACTTAAATTGTGCCGAGCTGGACCAATGTAAGTATGAAATATAAATTATTCCTGGAGTGCAGCTTTATTTATTTATTTCAGGTACTTATATAGCACTGTCAATTTACGCAGCACTTTACATATATATATTGTACTTTCACATCAGTCCCTGACCCTCAAGGGGCGCACAATCTAAGGTCCCTAACTTACATTCATACATACACATACTAGGGCCAATGTAGACAGGAGCCAATTAACCTACCAGCATGTCTTTGGAGTGTGGGAGGAAACCGGAGTACCCAGAGGAAACCCACACAGGCACAGGGAGAACTTACAAACTCCAGGCAGCTGGTGGTTGGGATTTGAACCAACAACCCTAGTAGTACTACCAGGCAAAAGTGCTAACCATTTAGCCACTGTGCTGCCAGCTTTAAATAATACCTGGTGATTGTGCCATGAAGGTGCTTGTTCACGCACTTCCTGGTATAGGGTGACATTCTCTATCCCAGTGTAGGCAGGTGCAGGTTGAGTTCCCTATACAGGTGGCGCTGTTGCAACCACCGTGCAGGGAGAGTGGAGGACTAGAAGAATGGCCTTTCCTCTTAGACCTCCGTACATGTCATTGGGTAGACTGCTCTCTAATTGGACGCTGCTACCCAGGTGGCCTCTGCAGCCATCTTGAGTGAGGGCAGACTTACACAAAGCTCTAGCTCACTGCAGTGGGTGTGCATTCTGCGTGTGGCAAGGTCATGGACAGGAACCTATCTCTCAGGGAAAGTGTACCTAGAGCAAGAAAAGGTTCCAGAGGAGGAGGGACAGCATAGGGACTGTCGTCAGAGATCCTTAGGAAACTTCTCTGCTACTTCTGCTTACTCTATCTGCCTTCCAGCTGCTCTCTGCGCAAGGTGCAGCCATCCTTTGTGCATCGCTCTCTCCATCTGCAAGTCCTGCATACTGCTGTGTATGTTGTTGCTTGGCCTATACTGTTGGATAGACGTTGTTACTGTATCTAGAACGTTTTGACAAAATAATGTTGCATTTCCCACCACTATGTGTTCCCTCTGGGTGCCTACTGCCTGGGCCTTTCCCCACCCCACAGCCTATACCTGTCTTCCTTTTTGCTCTCCAAGGTGGTCACACTGTCACATGGGCTTCCAATGTACAGATATTACATAGACATGGTCCATTGGAGTACATGCATATAGACACAAGGTGGCTGCAGGTGATCAGCAGCATTCACATACAACAAGGGTTAAAAAAAAAAAGGTGAAAACAAGTATATTCTCAAGCCCTTCATACCACCATCCGGCGGGCTTTAATGCCAGGAGGCAGATCATGTGACTGCTGTGATTAGCTCTCACAGTGGTTATGGACCCCATCCTGCTGCCTCCCAACCAGAAGCTTTGACAAAGAGCTGTTGGAGAGAGTATGGTCAGTGTGCTGGGAATGCATTCCCAGCACACATCCTCAGACCCCGGGGGTCCACATGTCCAATAGCTGGGCGTTAAGGCCTAGTTTTCCCGATAACGCATATTTTCATTGCACTGTTGGGAAAAGGTTAAAACAGGCCACTGTTTATTATAGATTACGCTTTAGAAACAAAATGTTTTTCAATTAGGCTAAGTTCACCCTTGCAAAAAATGATAAGACTAGGGGCGGACTGACCATTTGGAAACTCGGGCACTGCCCGAGGGCCCGGGGTTAGTAGGGGGCCCCATGAGATGCCCCTGGTACATTTTTCATAGGCTTTTTTGAGTTTGGGCAAGGACACAGGGCCCCATGATCCCCTATTGCCCGGGGGCCCCATGAGTTGTCAGTCCGCCCCTGGTTAAGACTGACTCTGATGTAAACCAACAATCCCAAGGCATTAATGCGTGTTTTAGGCAAGTTGCAAAAGCACCCCCGGGTGCCCTCCAAGAGATTTTTTTCCACTTAATGATATTTGATAAACGCTTGTCAAACGTGCCGCGAATGCACTGTAAACACTGCAGGTGCGTTTACACTGTGTCATCATAGACTTGAATGGAAGGAGTTGATAAGGTTCAACTCTTGCAACAGGAAGAAGGGTCAGCCGCACGAGATCATGTGAAACGCGTTAACAAGTCCTGTATTCTTGTCCTGGTGTTTTGTGTGTCCTATGGATCAATAAATATACACTATATTCATCAATCCTCCGGTGTGCGGCTGACCCTTCTTCTTGTTGCATTGTGGGTGGTGACGAGCCAGAGCCTGCACCTGTCATGGATTGATCTGGATTGTTTGTCTGAGTGGTATACCTTTGTTCTTAAGGTTCAACTCTTCTCAGACTCAACTAGATTCGTTTTTGCTGCACAGCGACGCGAAACAACACAAATGCTACATGTCTTTCAAATGTGAACAGCTCTGTCCTCTGTCCATCTTATCTTTTGTAGGATGCTTTTGCTAGGAGTTTGTGGAGCTGCAAAAACACGTCCAAAATGCCTGTTTCTAATGCCAGTGTGAACAAGGCCTTTGCAAGGATTGGCGTCTACTTTAATAAATGACTAAATATTGGACTCTGTTATCAAGAGACTCCCAAATCTATCCAAAGTCCCACATCTATCCTGGATGGCTAACCATTTTATTATTTTGCAATACAATCCCTGTTTTGCATGTTCCATTCTAATTCTATCTATTCATAACATCGGCTTTCTTCTGCTTCCTCTCAGTGGGAACACCAGCACGTGTAGTTAACCCTCGCGAGGGTTGCAGCAGAACAATAACAGCACCTGTTATGACAGATCAGGAAAAACTGGGCTCTTTAAAGGACTTCCTAATGCGTAAAATGTTACCTAACATGTCAGATGTGCTGGGGAGTTAGCGCTCCATTAAAATGCTACAGAGGATCTGCGTGGAGACAGACATGACCATGTTTACAGGCAGGGCAGACTGACAACTCATGGGGCCCCCGGGCAATAGGGGATCATGGGGCCCCTGTGTCCTTGCCCAAACTCAAAAAAGCCTATGAAAAAGTTACCAGGGGCATCTCATGGGGCCCCTTACTGACCCCGGGCCCTCGGGCAGTGCCCGATTCTCCAAATGGTCAGTCCACCCCTGTTTACAGGAGACCTGTGTATTCAAAGACTGAAACTTTCATACAAATGGGTCCTATAATCAATAAATGTAAAATGCTAAGCAAATATTTGATACTTCAATATGTATATATTCATTTTGCATTTTAGTTGGTCAAAGTCCAAGACCATATCATGGGTTGCTTTTGCTGACCTACTAAAAATGCATGTTATCTGGCTGTGCTGTTGATTCTTTGGCTTAGTACTTACTTTGGCAGCCTACGTATTTCTGTCATCGCAGATGTATACAGGGCCAGGACCAGGACCAGGGGAGCAGGAGGGCATGTGCCTTCCCTTCAACAGCAGTGAAAGAGGATCCAGCGCTGAGACTGAGAATGCACCTCAGTCTCAGTGTGGTGCCACTGCCCTGCCCTTCTTCCTGTCTCCCTGGGACATATCACATGACTGAAGATGGGAAGAAGAAGCTGCCTTTACTCCCTCTTGGGTACCGTGAGAGGGTGGGGGACAACTCAGCCTAAGACCTCCCCTCTCCTCCTCAGAACCACACCAAACTCCCATAGCCTCCTCCATCTCTTAGGACTCATTTGCACTCTGAAGAGCAATCTACTGTGGTTCACTTTTCAGAATTATGTTGCTTCCTCAATGCTTGTTTTAACCACTAAAGTCTCTTACTATTGCAGGGACTTGCGGGGCAGTCGCAGTGTGGCCCCATTTGCTTGATGGTACTGCCCACCGAAGCTGCTCCAGATTTTGTATTCTCCAGTTTTAGTAAATCAACTCCATTGTGACCTAAAATAGATCCACCTTTCTCAACCTTTTCAACATGGAGGAACCCTTGATATAACTTATGGGCTTATGTGGAACCCCTGCTAATAATTATTATATCTACATCTCACAGTAGATTGGTGTGATGATCACTGGGAGGAATGCTCCTTACGTTTGTGGTCATTGGGAAGAAATTTCCTCCTTACAGATAACTAAAAAGATTATTGATGTCAGACAGCACTTATCTGGGAGACAGAAGTTGCTCATTGCTCAAGGAACCCCTAGAGGAACCCTGCCATCGATTATTTATTTATTACAGGAACGTATATAGTGCCGTCAATTTACACAGCGCTTAACATATATATTGTACATTCACATCAGTCCCTGCCCAGGGGCGGACTGACCATTTGGAAACTCGGGCACTGCCTGAGGGCACGGGGTCAGTAGGGGGCCCCATGGGATGCCCCTGGTACCTTTTTCATAGGCTTTTTTGAGTTTGGGCAAGGACACAGGGGCCCCATGATCCCCTATTGCCCGGGGGCCCCATGAGTTGTCAGTCCGCCCCTGTCCCTGCCCTAAGGTTCCTAACTTACATTATGTACATACACATATTAGGGCCAATTTAGAGAGGGGCCAGTTAACCTACCAGCATGTCTTTGGAGTGTGGAAGGAAACCGGAATACCCTGAGGAAACCCATGCGGGCACAGGGAGAGAGAAAAGTTGCACCACTCACACTCTCCCTTATGCTCAGAACTGGCTTTCCCAGAATCTCACAATGCATCACGTTCTGTGAATTGGTAAGGGAGATCCTGTCATTCTCCACCGAACCCTCCCGGGTTGTAAATTCTAAGGTCCCTAACGTACATTCATACAGGGGCAGACTGACAACTCATGGGGCACCCGGGCAATAGGGGATCATGGGGCCCCTGTGTCCTTGCCCAAACTCAAAAAAGCCTATGAAAAAGGTACCGGGGCATCTCATGGGGTCCCCTACTGAACCCAGGCCCTCGGGCAGTGCCCGAGTATCCAAATGGTCAGTCCACCCCTGATACTAGGGTCAATCTTTGGAGTGTGGGAGGAAACCAGAGTATCTGGAGGAAACCCACATAGGCACAGGGAGAACATGCAAACTCCAGGCAGGTGCTGCCGTGGTTGGGATTTGAACCAACGACCCTAGTACTGCCAGGCGGAAGTGCTAACCATTTAGCCACTGTGCTGTATAGATGCTGTATATTGTTAACACAACAAAAACCTCTTCTTCCCACATATTACCAGCATGGCAGTGTGTGGTCTGAAACGACAGATATGTTTTTGATTCTCGTTCCAAAAGGCACACCCTTCTTTTTTGAAAGCAAAAAAAGGAGGGCACCTGCATCTCTTAAACTGACGGTCAGATTGTATTTGGCAATGGTGGAGGCTAAAGACACGGCTGCATAGTTATGGGAATTTTTCTTACTTCCACTAAATAGTTTTATTTAAGTAATAAAAAAAATATGAATATGAGATATGAATGTAAAAATGTCCAGGTATCTGTATATAGCTTCCACCCATGTAAATCAAATGGTGTTTTGACTTTATGTCATGCTGGCGTGGAAGTGATATAAACACCAAGCAAAGTGTTTGACTCATTTCATTTTTTTTCTGAGTTACTGACCTGGAATAAGTATGGAGGAGATGAAGTAAGAAGACGGAGTAAGAACTTCTTATCCGAATACTTGTGGTCAGTCCCTGATGCAGCATTGAAGCTGAAAGTCAGCATGACACCCAGACAACTTGCCTATTAAGTCACCATGTTTTTTTCACAACTAGTTTTCTTTAGCCCCTTGTCTAGTAAGGTACAATGATAAATGTATTGGTATTCAGATGGTTAAAACAAGCTCACTGCAAACTGCAGTTGGGCTGCTTTAAAGTGGTTGTAAACCTCAGACATGAATTATGAACAAAGCATATCCCTCTATAGTGTGTACTTGTCTCAATTAAGAGCACTAAGTGTCATTTCTGTCTGTTGCTTTGTTCCTCTGCTATTCGCATGAGTCACTTCTGACATGTTTTCCTGACACCAAGAGAAAAATGGTCATGGGGAGGGACCTCTAACAGACTGACAGTCTCAGCTCTCCTGTGAGCTGTGTGGAGGGGACGTGTCTCTTCCCTCCAATCACCTCTCAGAGCTCTATTCACTGAGCTCTGCAGAGTGGCAGGGTATAATTTCAGCTCTCTGCCCCCTGTTTTATGAAATTCTAGACAAGCTTGATAAATTGAGCACTGTGAACGGATGTAGATACACAAAGAGACTGCTGATAAACAGGTACAACTTATGTAGGAGGATTTATTCTGCCTTTGTGTATCACTTGAGGCTAGTCACTTTACTGGGTATCTGTAAGGGTTTACAGCCACTTTAAGTATCGCAGTGATGGTCACAGTGAGAGCAATAATTCAAGGGCCATAGTTCACATTTAACTCTAATTGGTGACCTGTAAGGGATTTCCAAGAGTTGCCTATGGACAATTTTGGGTATGGTATATTTTTGCCATTTCAATGGCTTGCACAGTTTTTTTAGGGTTTGACATGTTTGGTATCTATTTCTTCAACACAACACCATCTTTTATATTTTACCAAGCAACCAATATTATTTTGTGTCGTGTGCACCAATTTATTCTATAGTTTGGAGGTTTAAAGTAAATTTTGGCATGGTTCACAACTTTACACCTATGCAGTTTACTTTTGATCTGTTTCTGCAGTGATTTTTGAGGTGTGTTTTTGAATTTTTGCATACTCGTTTCTGACACATTTTCACACTTTTTTAAATGCATTTTGGGGTTTTTATGCTTTTTTTTTTGGCCGATATGTTGTCGGGCAGATTTGAAAAAATGCAAAATGCATCAAAAACTTGTCAAAAACAAAAACTAAATGATTTTCTGCAGCGTTTCCATTGAAGTTTGTTGAACCAAAACTTCACCGTATTGGGCTTAAAATGCAGCAGCTGAAAAAAGTATAGATGTGAACATGTTCCATAGTAAACCATGT